TCAATTACAGATTTGTGCTAGAGAGAAAAACAGCCAAATCAGATATAAATACAGAGCAACATATAGATTGTTCCTGCTAGAAATAAAAACATCCAAATCAGATATCCCATGAAACAATAAAAAAAAACCAAAGCCTCTAAACAATAACTCCACAAAATCAATTGTTCTTGCCGTCCATAAAAAACGTAAATAGTCGACCCTACGATCAGAGGGCATCTTCATGAATATTTGTTTGTGGGTCGGGTCCTCCAACAACTTCAAGGAGCTCATATACAATGGTTTATCCCCATAAACATCGGGATATGTCTCCAAAACTTGGAGAAAGTCGTCTATGGAGGTGTCATGTGAAGTACCAGCCTGAATTGTGCACGCTTCCACCAATTTTGTTATTTAGCTTCTGACGAACACAACTTCTTCTTATTTCCTTTTCCCCATCTAAAGCCACTTTGACCGACATGTGGACTCCAACTCCTTTTGATTTAAGTTTGGGCCTTCACCGGATCAACTTACCTGCTCGATCTCTAAGTACTTTAGTATGCTTGCAAACTCATGATCACTTGGGGTGAACGCATGAGTGTTAGTTGCAATAACCCCACTGAACATACAGTCCAAATTCTCCTCAATGTCAGCCTCAATGCCATTGAATTTGAATTTCTTGATGACTGGCACTGCCTGCAACAAATGGACAACTTTATTACTTAAAATAGGTTATTGAGATAAAGAATGGAAAAACAAGTAATAATTATATAGGTTATTACCTCTAATTTCTTAGTCCACCAGTCCTCTGAAGCATCTATTGTCTATTTCATTGGATCACAACCCAAGCCCTTGGATCCCCATTTTGGTTCATTCCATAATTTTTAGTCCTTGTTCTGTTGATCCCACTTATGCTTAAGTTGCAGCCTGCCGTACTCCCTTCCTGATATTTCCTTGAACTTATTCATAATTTTTTGCCACCCTTCTTTATTAAAATAGATGGTGGGTCTATTTTTAAGCTCAACCTCTTGAAGACAGATGTATCAAAATATAAGTTTGGCTTTCCTATCCCAATTGCTAACGACTTACTTCTTTAGTTTTAACCATTGCTTTACAAGCACAAAAAAACAAGACATTAAAATTTGATAGCACAACAACAAAAAAATAGCCACCCATAACCACAAACCCAACCCACAGATCACCGCCCAAGCCCACAACTACACAAATACACTACCCACAACTACCCACGAACCCAACCCACAGATCACCACCCGAACCCAACCACACCACACAACCACATAGATACACAACCCACAACACCTCAACCCACTACTACAGAGCCAACGACAACCACTAACCTAACCCCACAACCATTACAAAACCATAAAGAACCACATCCCACAACCATCTCCTCAACTAACAACCACCATAAAGCACAACCCAACCCAATGAACCACAAACAACAACCACCATAAAGCTAATCGCATCCATCACAACCAATAACCATCACCACAACTAACAACCACTACAAGAAACCACAACCAACAACCACCACAAAGCACAACCATCCCAAAGCCCACAACCCACAACCACCACTGCACCTTGAAGAACCACAACCCACAACCATCACCACAACCAACAACCACCACAAAGCTCAACCCAACCCACAACCACATGTACACAACTCCGATTATGAGAAATATCCTCACATTTCACACAACCACCAGAATCACAGTCATCACCCTAAAGCCACACCCACAACACCTCAACCTACTACCACATAGTCAACCACAACCACCAACCCAACCCACAACATCGGTGCAATGCTTCATTTATATTTTTGTGATGAAGATAAAGAAGAGAGTATAAAACTAAAACGCTGACGCATGAAAGCACTTCCATCTTTACCATAAAAAGTAATTTATTGCCAAATAATAGAAGCTTCCTACTTCTCAAAAACTTGTTAATCAATCTTTCTCAACTTCTAAAACCAAGAAAATATATAATTATGAAAAAAAAGAAGAAGCATTACTCCACAACATATCACAAATTTTTGGGGCATTTACTTTCATGTCATAGAACTCTTTTGTATTTTACATATCTCACACCTGGGCCTTCATATATAAACAAGTAACACAACATACTTTCATATTAACTTTGAAATTTTGGTACTTTTGATGGATAACCGACATGGTGCTTTCTATCTATTGATACCATTGTGTTGTGTTATGACATGAATTTATACTGACTTGAACATTATCTTGTCTATCTTTAAGAAATTTCATAACAAATATTGGATGGACAATATGCCAAATAATGGTGAATGCATGAGGATGGCTTGGGGTGTTATATCTCAGGCAACCTAAAAATAAAAACAAATGCATAATTCCTAAAAATCCATAGCTCAAATTACTTAAGAAAACCTAACAATCCTCAGGGAACAATAGAGCCAAAATAAACCATAAAAAATGAAGATCTTTAACTAAGATCCAAACAACTGAAGAAAAATGGCTAAGCAAAAGAGGGGGAGGTAGATGCCAGTGTTCTCACCATTCGATCACGAGAGAAGAGGAGGGAAAGGCCAACACAGTCGCGAAAGGGGGAGGGAGATGTCAGCGCGGTCGCGAGACACGTGAGAAAGAAGGTCGCTTGAGATATGGGGGGGTAGGGCTATAAAGAGCGTGGGTGTAAGTATTAGGAAACACGGGAAGGAGGTCAAAACTACGGTTCGAGTCCCATGGGTTTTTCCCACCGCATCTCGTAAGTAGTAGGAAACACGGGAAGGAGGTCAAAACTGCGGTTCGAGTCCCATGGGTTTTTCCCACCGCATCTCGAAATTGCATAAAACAAAACAGAAAAAAGATGGAGCAAGGTTTGGTGCCGCACCACGCCAAATAATCAGCCCCAAACGAGAGCTTAGTCATCAATTATCTCAAATGAGGATGAGGCTAATGGTAACAAATGGATCCAAATATGGAAATGATTCACCCACTAACAATGTGCTTAAGAATGAAATGATGATATCTTAAGGGAGGAGGAAGAGATCATAGAGGAATAAACTTAAATGGTCTCGTTGTTTAGCTTAATTTGATTTTTCTCTCTTAGTATGGGAAAAATTCAAGCTTAACTCAGGGTACCTTAAAAATATTTAGAAACAAAAATAATTTTAATTTACTTAATTTATTAAATAAGCCCAAATTGTTTATGTTGCAACTTATAGTATCAATAGCCAAATGTTAATTTATGGAACATAGAACATATATAATCAATGAAATTCTTGCATTCATTAAACAATACCACAATCAATACAAAATTTTATGATAAACAATCATATAATATAACAAAAATTGTATTAAGAGCGCATTTGGGCTAGGTTTTTTTGTGCAGCGCGACACGAAAACATGATTTTCTGCATTTGATTAGCATAGCACAACTACATTTATTTACATGTGCCCCACTTATGGGGATACCGACTCGACCACGCGTTCCACGTTTCTCCTTAGCTATTATTTGGCTACCCCCATCTTAGCATTCAATCAAGTGAGTTGACACTGCCTAGGGTTTTTTTTTTCCTTCCCTTGCTTTTCTTTATTATCCAACATCTATGGTGAGGATTGCTAGTGTTTTCTTCTTTTGCTCTCATTCTTCCTCCGATACCTTCTACCCTTTAACTTCAATGTATTTTCTTTATGGTTTGTGGTCTCTGTCTCATTGGCTTTGCTCTTTGTGGTTTTAGGTGGATGGATTAGCTAAATGATTCCATCTAAGATAATGATCGGATGTGGAGTTTCATTGAAGAGGAAGTTATCTTATAAAATTGCTCGTATGAATTTCAAATCTAGTATTATGATAATGTTAATTGTTGTTTTAAAAGTTCTATTTTTTTATTTTGATTATTGTGTTACTCACTCTTACATTGGATGTATGTTCTAATATTAATATTCAAACTTTTGAGTTTGAAGATTCTGAATCTTATTTTTGTTTTCATGTACGAGTTATTTAACTTATACCGATTTTGCTATAACAACACAACAATACATGTGCAAAAATTTCTTTTTATCATACATTGTTGCATCACAATTGCTGTATAAATGTACAAAACAAATAGACACACAACTTTCCATATTAGCTTCTACGCAGCAGCTTTTGGCACAGATGCTGCGCAACAACCTTTAAAGAAACTACAGTTGTCCCAAATAGACCATCAGACATTTAGATGTAAAACAGGATAGAATTAGTTTAATAAAAAAACATGAAACTGTAAGATATTAGAAGAAAGAATTGTATTTATGAAAGACATTCTTCAATTTATGAAAATAAATTTTTTTTATATAAACGTTTCTTAAATTTAAATTCACCTAATGTTGTTGGCCGTCATACAATGAATTTTTTTTTTGTCCAGACTCTGGACGTAGCTTTACGTGCGGACTCCTAGTAATATGCCGTCACGTGTGTTATATTGGCCCACCTAAAAAATAAAATTAAAGTGGAATCTCAAAGGTTATTAGAGTAACACTGTAGAAGTTATTTGAGTGGAACTGCGGGTGTTATTTAGAGGGTTGTTGGGAGTTTATTGGCTTATTAACTCCAATAACGCCGTAATAATCCCTCAATAATCCCCTAATAATCTCCGCAGTTTCACTCTAATAACCTCTTATAATAACCCTTGCAATAACCCTCCAACTGTCCAACAACCCCTAAATAACTCCCAATAACCTCTACGATTTCACGTCACTGCAATAACCACGACAATAACCATCTAATAACCTTCGCAGTTCCACTTCAATAATCCTTTACATTAACCCCCATAATAACCCATTAATAACCCCTTAATAGTCTTCACATTTTCACTTCAATAACCCCCAACAACCTTCATGATGTAACACGCGTGGTGAGATATTGTTATATTGCTGGAATTCACATGTAGAGCTACGCCTGGAGTCCAGGTAGATAATTTTTTCATACAATGATTTATTTTTAAGAAGAGTGCAATTTTGAGAGGATATATGAGTAAAATTCGCTTCATTTCTCTTGGTATTTATCCCTGTTCTTACACATGTACTTCACTATCCATTCTCGTTCTATGCCCGTTGCATATGTTGTGATTGATTGCTTCGTCTGACCTCTAAACCCCGACACTTACTCCCGATCGTTCTCGGGGAATCCGATAATTCTGAGCCTAAATTTTACCCTGCATCTCATACTGTCTTCATCTCCTATCCTTTCTCCCGATCGCCGCGCGTGCATAAACTTCTCGGCTTGCCGCTGCAGAAAACCCCACAGCTCATTAACGTTGATCAGGCTACGGATTGGGGTGGCGTGCCTAATTTTGTCAGGGCGTCCGGCTTTTTATTTTGCCTTGTCGGGTTGGTGAAACTGGCGATGCCGAATTGAAAAAATGAAATACAAGAGACGCAGGGTTTCAGACGTGGTATGCATTTCATTATCAACACTATGATCCACTCCTGGTTCTTGCTTTCGTTGTATTATTAGATTTCTTGTTGTATTCTGTGTTTTTAATCTGCATCTTAGGCTTATCTTGTGCCCACTCCCCATGCGTGTTCTATATATATATATATATATATATATATATATATATAGTTAAATTAAATCTGATTGTCTTAAATGACTTGGTTCTTTCCATGATCATATAATTATATTCTTGTTAATACGAGTGACGGTGCTACATTGCAAGATACTGCCTTATGACTACAAGCTTCACATGCTATTTGTTTCGCAGGGTGACTTTTTCAATGTAATTATATTTTGGTCCCTTCTGTATTTATGTTTTAGTCCTTCCTTTATGTAATCTTCCTTTATTGTTCGAAGTTGATAGGTTTTGGTGTGATTAGCGTGGATTTTGTCATTTTAGCTTTCAGATGTACAAGAAGAGCATAAAAAGACTTATCTTTCTTGGAACTACGAGTTTCGAGTGAAAAATTTCCCCCTCTTTCAATCTCATTCAAATAATTTATTTTAACCTTCTGTGACCATTGATTAACAATTTGTTTATAGAAATTGAATTTCTTATGGACAATAGTTGCCTTTACTTAGATGGATTTTGTAATGAATATTGGTGAATAAATATTATTCATTGCTTTAGTATTCCATGGATTGATTAGATGAAATAATGCCTTCTGATATTTGGTACATTTTGCATTTAAAGGAGAACTCTTAACATTGGTAGCAATTTTGCAAGTTCTTTATGATGATGAGGTATTATAAGATAATTTGAAAAAAACAATCAGTCTCCACAAATTAACATAGGAGCACTTATAGACACTATTGGTGCCATATGAACATTTTTCTTAATTATTTAGGCCTTTCTACCTTTTTAAAGGAAATTATAGTGCAAAACTACATTAGTAATAATGGTGTATTATTTATTTTGATTAATAATTGTCTCCTTCTCATACAACTTCCTATTGCTTCTTCATCCTCACGTAACCATTTGACGATTAAAGTGGTTTTACTATAATAAAATCACATTTAGCCTCTTGGGTGCATGGATGATTTTCTTAGTGACTCATTCGATTTTTGGTTGACTTATTTTGCTCGTCTTGATCACACATTTTGGTACCATTGGTTACACATCAGGTCTTCATGGGCTGTTGCATGGCCTAGAGATTTTAACACTTGGAGGTATTACTCTCTTTGGGGAGTTTGCAAGTTTCTTTGCTTAAGTAATTGAACAATTGTCTTCTCTATTTTTCTATAGGTTGAGGGGTGGAGTTTGGAGAAATCTGATCTAGATTACCCATGACAATGATAGTTAATCCTAGAGGTAGATATTCTATTATACCAACATGATCCAAACCAACTTGAGATCATATTATGATAGTATTATGATGACAAATTGATTTAGCAATGATGTATATGATATGCAATTTATAGAATTTATGTGCAACTTGGGGCTTTCCTCGACAGAAATTTTCAATGCATGGTTAAACTTTTTAAGAGACATAAAATGATTATGGTTTTTTATCAATTCAATGCATGAACCTTGCAAGAAGGAAAAAGATAATAAGATAGATGAGATGAGTGGATTATTATGCAATTAACTCATTCCAGTCCTAGTGAGGATTTTCATATCATTTGATGCAATATGAATTCCTTCAACTATTTTCTTGTTAAGCAATATAGAGCTTATGTTAATCAAGTTAGCCAAACTCCTAAGTGCTAAAGTTAGGATCAAACAAGGAAGAAGCAAAAGTTTCTTTCACAAATTCTAATTATAATTGTGTGAGACAAACCCAAAATAATGATAAGGAATTGTTGGAACTAAAATATTGGAGTGGAGAGAGAGAGAGAGAATCGTATGGGAATATATTTTCATTTTTCAAGCTTGGTAGTGCATATTCAAGGCCCTTCTATATAGATATAATATAGACCTATGGAAAAATAATTAAACATGGTCATCTCGTTCTCCTTCCTTCTATGGTTTTCTCTTATTTTTTATCTGTAACCATCTAAGCTCCTTTCTAGATTATGATTTATTTATTTCTTTCTTAAATTTTCAACTTTATTGATAACGAGAAATTATGTCAAAATTGATGATTTTCTATTACTTTTGCATGAATTAAGGTCTGCTTGTGTTATTGATCCCTTTACTCATTTTAAGTTTGATTTTGGTTAATTGTTTGCTTGCTTTTTCTTTTTTTTGACTAGGCTAAACTCTATAATCATCAATGCTCAATTTTATTTATTGGTTGGGCTAAATTGGGTTTTGGAGAGCCTCTTGAATTAGTAATTTTAATTGTGATATTTATTTTAAGAGATTGATGTGATATGATCACCTCAAATTAGTTCTATAGTTCCATTATGACACAAGTTTAAAATTCTTTGTAAATAGATTATCCTAAGCAAATGTGATGAATTTATATTTGTAGCTTGCCTAACATAAAGATAATTCAATCTTTGCCACTATCTATCCCATCTTCATGATTGTTCATCATTTTTTTTTATCTTTAAATTATGAGTGCTTCATCTCTTTTTATATTTGGTAAAATTCATTTGTTTCATCATTGAGATTACTTTGAAGCAAGAAACACTTGTACTTACATTTTGTTAGACATGTTTCTTGCTGACAAAAGAGTAAAGCTAGCCGCTATTAAGTTAAAGAAGAGTGTGTCTTTATGGTAGGAAAATTTAAAGCGTCTACGTCAACATGGGAAAAAAAAAAATCACTACTTGGTTCAAGTTGAAAATAGGAAAAAAAAAAAAATCACTACTTGGTTCAAGTTGAAAATGGAGACAAAGCACACATACTTACTAACACATTAGATACAAGACATATTCTCGATTATTCACTATTTACAACAAAAAATCCTCTCAGCAGAGGAGTATATTGTTAAGTTTGAGCAACTTATATTGAAGTTTGAATTAATGGAGTATGAGGAGAACATGATAACCCAATATCTAGTTAGATTATGGCTGTCTATCAACAAAATGGTATAGTTCCAATCCTATTGGGCATTACAAAAGGTTTATACTTTTAACTTTGAAGGCGAAGAGATAACATAATAATATCAAGTTTAAACCACCGTTCAAATAGAGTTCAATCATCGTATTGGGCAGCAAGAGTATATACTCATTGGAGCACCCAGGTCGACCTCCCCCAAGGAAAATTCAATCCATAGTGGAAAAAAAGATGAAGAGCATTAACATTTCCCATAAAGTGTTTAAAGTGCCTCAGTTTTGGTCATATCGCATTTGATTGCTCAAACAAAAGAGTAATATCTTTCACTGAGTAGGAAGAAATGAAAAATATAGATAGTGACACTAGAGACAATGGAGAATGTGAGGAAGCAAAGGGGTATCAGTTTCTAGCCGACGAGGAAGATAGGCTAATAATTCGACACGTCCTTTAGATTGAGCCCATGAAAGAGAGTAACAATGGCTTCATCATATTTTTATTACCTATTGTACCATGAAGGAAAATATGTGCAATTTCTTTATTGATAGAAATAAATGTGAAAATGTGGTATTTGCACACATTATGATAAGTTAATTCTTATTATGCCAAAGCATTCTTAGCTATATTCTTTTACTTGGTGAAGATGTGGAATATGATTAGTGTTGATAGGAGATGCTTGATGAAATTTTAAATTGGAGATGAGCTACAAGATTATGTTTGGTGTGATGTCGTGCTTATGGATGCATGCTGCATCCTTTTTGGCCGATCGTGATAATATGACTGGTACTCTTCTTCATGACCACAAAAATACCTTCTCATTTATTAAGTATTGTATTTCTACTATTGAAGGATTCAATAGTCATGAATACTTGGATAAAGCTAAGAATTTTAATGTGTGTGCCACATTTTTATAGGCTATAAGAGAGGCACTAGTGGAGTTGGTCTTGGTGATACTAGAATGTAATGACATGGAAGAGCCAATATTAGTTAATGCCATCATAATTATTAAATATAGTAATTTTATATATTTAATTTCTAGTTAGAGTTTCAGAATTTTTTGATCTATAGTCTACCTTCTAGGTTATCACCATTGAGGGAGGTTCAACATGTCCTCATTTCGAATAGAGATAAGAAAATTTTGAGCTATTTGAGAAGTTTTTTGGTATAAGCTAGATACTTAGTTCCAGTTCAGTTAAGCTGAACAAAATATCTAGACATGTAACTAGATAAAAATGGTGAACAACCGCTTTGAAAATCTTTTTGGATGTTTTATGGGAAAGCACATCAGAGTGAGATCAAGTTGTTTTTAGAGAAGAATAAGTCTTTCTTAACTTGAGATAATGACGCGGGAGCAGCTCACAGTTTTATGGAATCCCAAGATCTCTTGTGGTTCCCATATATGCAGGATGCTGTTCAGGAAGCTGGCATGAGGCACGTGGGCTCTTTTTATTTTATTTTACTGTTTGAAGGTTAATTAAGGCTTCTTTCTAGTTGGATATTATTTATAAGTTTTATTTTTTTTATCTAAGTTTGAGGACTTTTGTTTGGTTTTATGTCATTTGGAGATTGTGTGATACCAGGGTTTAGTAAAAATCTAGAAGGAAATCATAATTTCATTTTTCAAACTAAGAGGTTACAATCAAGACTCCAAACAAAACAAGAAAAACAAAACCAATACCAATATCTTACTAGGTCAATTAGGTGTAACCGTCAACAGCAGCTGGCGGGGAGTTGGGATGTCCTTAGATGGTTACGGCTTACCAAGGAAATATGTACAGGAGTTGCGGCACACAGGGTGGCTACAGATTAGTTGCGACTGTAGTAGCTAGGAGAGGGTGTTAGCGGTTGGAAACAAGGAAAAGGAGGGTTGAGTGGCTGGCGGATGGAAGCAGGTGAAAAAAAAGTTGGGAATGCTGGCGGTTGGTAAACAGGGAGTAGAAGGTGGGAGGGTTGGCAGTTGGAAAACAAGGAGGAGAAGGTATGCAGAAGGATTGGTGGAGGTAATCATCACTTCGGTGCAGGATAAGGCCAGAGCACCAGCCAGAGCACCACTTGTCCTCGTATACAACCCTAGCAAGGGAAATGCTTGGAGGAAGAAATCAGAAATCATCAAAAACTAAACCCTAACTCAACAAACAACATATTTATAATAAGGCAAATAGGAGGAGGGGGTAAAGGGGCGGCGGGGCCGTGCCGGGTTGGTAACCCGCCGGCCGGTTCGGTTCAGCCTAAGTCCCATTTCAATCTCTTGGGGTTGGGGAGATTCAACTTAATTCATGGAAGCTTCTGAGTCCTTGTAATACAGTGACAATCCCGTGACACTGAACATAGTGGAAACATTTTAGTTCCCCGACAAGTCAATCTTATAGGTGTGGTCAGTCAGCTTTCGAAATATTCTGAAAGATTTGTTTGCTTTGGGTTTGAGTTTTTTAATTTCTCCTACCGAAAATCTCTCTTTCTTCATCTGGATTCACACTAGGTCTCCTTCTTAAAGTCATATTTTTTCTTATCTTGTTTGCCTGTGCTTGATACTTGGGATTCTGCTTAGTGATCTCTTTTACAACCTCTTCATGAAGCTTCTGAATCTCGTGCACCCGTTCCTCAACGTCCCCACTATCGACAAAAGTGGTCCAATTCAAGTGGAGTGAGTGTGTTGCGTCCATACACAATCTTAAATGGGCTGCGTCCCGTAGTCTAGCTCACAGGCTTGTTTTAAGAAAAGTTTGTTTGAGATAGAATCAGATCCCACTACATAATGTTCTTCCCAACAAAGTATCTCAGTAGATTTCCAAGCCTTTTGTTCACTACCTCAGCCTGCTTGTTCATCTGTGAATGAGCTGCGGAACTCAATTGAAGCTTAGTGCCTAGTTTCCCCCACAGAGTCCTCTAGAACCGAATCAGAAACTTGACATTTCTATCTGAAGTGATGGTTCTGGGTATTGCGTTCAGCCTCACAATCTCTCTGAAGTATAAGTCGGCAACATGCGATGCATCCAACATCCGGTGACATGAGAATCAAAATGTAGACCTTTATGTAATACTGAACTAGTCCAACATACTTGAAGATGCTAAACTAAAAAAATGCTTAACATGTCCCTTGTGTCATGTGTGTGTCGTTTTTGTATAAGGCAATTTCTAGCCAGTATTTGAGTTTGATTTTATAAGAAAATAATTCGGACACAGTTGTGAGAGTGCCAAATATGTGTGGGGGAATGTTGGGGTTTGTTCTTTCTGGAAACTTATCCAACATTTTCACCCAAGATATTTTGAAGCATCTGTGCTTTATGGTAGCTTGTTCATTCCAAATTCATATTGGTTTGAGTAAGACGAGTCTTTATCAGATGTGTTCTTCTACTAATTGTTTCTTTAGAATATTTTGCTATGTTTTCTGAGCAAGGACTATATCATTGTCACGATTCAACAAACCACTGCAAGCCCAGCAGTTACTGCAGCTTGGTACTCATTCTGGGATATGATGCCACTCTTTCTGTCCCACAAGTGCTATTGGAGGTGAAAAAATTATGATTTAATTCACCTTTTTCTACATAATTATGGCCTAGAATGGTTAAGATAAAAAAAAAAATCCTTAAGATGTTGGTTTGGATTTGCTTATGGCAAACACTAACAAATACCATAGCACTGGTGATATGCTGCAGGATTGTGTTTTTGAATAAATCTCATCTACTCTTTAAGCTCAGTTATCTCTGTCTTGAAGTTACTTTTAAGTAAATGTTCAGGTGGTGCTGTTTTTCACTTTTCAAAGAGCATATGGCATGTTCTATTATCTCATTAAAACGTTGTTCTTTTCTGATATCCTTTTAAAATTAATTATTTAGATTATTTTTTAGTAGCCTTAAATGTTGATAATGAGTACTTCTTGTATTTTTTATTCAGCCTCCTAAAATAAGATCCTTTATCAGAAGCGTGACATCTTTTACCTTAGAGAAGATAGAAGAACCATTAAAGGGCTTTGTCTGGGATTTTGATAAGGTTTGATTCTAGATCTTGCAAATGTTGACCTTTTATTTACAAATTATCCGATCAACCTTTTTTTTTCTTGGCAGGGAGATTTTCATCACTGGGCTGACCTTTTTAATCATTTTGATTCGTTTTTTGAAAAGTACATAAAGCCAAGAAAGGATTTGCTACTTGATGACAATTTTTTTGGAGCAGATCCTCCATTCCCTAGAGAAGCAGTACTGCAAATTCTTAGGGTGACTCAAGTCATATTGGATAATTGCTCAAATAAGCACTTATATAGTTCCTTTAAAGTAAGCATTTAGTATGTTACATGTAATCAATTTATCTCTTATATTTTCCAGATGAGTTTTTTTTTTCAATTATTAATTCTTTTATAGACACAGTCTATTGAATGTAAATACTTGATGAAAAATTTCACCTAATAATTTATGCTCCCCCTATGTTTTTTCTTAAATCTTAAATTTAGTCTTATTCAGTTGAGCTACTTGATTGCAGCAACATCTCTCATCTCTATTATCTTCAACCGATGCTGATGTTGTTGAGACAAGTCTTCAAACATTGACTGCATTTTTGAAGAAACCTGTTCGGAAATGCTCAATTCATGATAGTTCATTGACTTCAAAGCTATTTTCTTTTAGCCAGGGATGGGGGAGCAAAGAAGGTGGCCTTGGATTGATTTCGTGCTCTCTAATGAATGGTTGTGATCCTATTGCATTTGAAGTTGGCTCTACAGTCCATTTTGAATTTTATGTAGTTCCTGATTTATCTCAGGCCTCTGGTGTCACAGATCATTTGTGCCAGGGTTTGCAGGTTATACATCTTCCTAAAATTGGTCAATGTAAAGAGAATGATCTTGAGCTGTTGGATAAGTTGGTGAAGGAGGAGAATGTCCCCCATAATTTACGCTTCTCATTATTAACAAGATTTAGATTTGCAAGGGCTTTCAATTCGTTGGCTTCCCGACATCAATATATTTGTATACGATTATATGCTTTTATGATTCTAGTCCAAGCAAGCATTGATACTGATGATTTGGTGGTATTTTTTAATAATGAGCCGGAATTTATCAGTGAGCTTGTATCTTTGCTTAGCTATGAAAGTGAAGTTCCTGAAAAAATTCGGGTTTTGGGAATACAGTCATTGGTTGCTCTTTGCCATGATCGATCTCTCCAATCTACAGTTTTGAGCTCTGTTACGACTGGTGGACATTGTGGTGTCCTTCCAAGTCTTATGCAGAAGACAGTAGATTACATTCTTTGTAACTCTGGTGATGTTTCAATAGTTTTTGCTGGTGCTCTTTTATCTCTCGTCTCTGTTTTGGTTTCTTCCACTCCTGGTTCATTAGCTCTGCAGGAGGCTGGATATATTCCAACTATTTTACCTCTTCTTAAGGATACTGAGCCAAAGCATCTCCAACTTGTCAGTACTGCAGTGCACATTATAGAGGGTTTTTTAGATTTCAATAATCCTTCTGCTGCATTATTCGGAGATTTGGGTGGCTTTGATGACACAATTACACGCTTAAAGATTGAAGTTGCGAATGTTGAGAATGGTTCAAAAAGAAAGGCAGAAGGTGTTCTATCTCATAGCAGGGGAAAACAAATGCTCGACTCTTGTGAAATCCTTATGCAGCCTTATTGCTCTGAAGCCTCAATTTCTTATCACCGAAGGCTACTACTTAAAGCTTTGCTTCGTGTAATATCACTGGCGACCTATGTCCCTGGTAGCTCTGCTCGAATTGATGGTCCTGAAGAGAGCATGTTGCCATATTGCTTGTGTATTATCTTTCGAAGGGCAAAAGATTTTGGCGGTGGAGTTTTCTCACTTGCTGCAATTGTTATGAGTGATCTTATACACAAGGATCCTACATGTTATCCAGTCCTGGATGCAGCAGATTTGCCACAGGCTTTTCTTGATGCAGTCATGAATGGTGTACCTTGCTCTGCTGAAGCTGTAACGTGTATACTGCAATGCTTGGATGCATTATGCTTGAACAATGCAGGTCTTCATCTTGTGAGGGAACGTAATGTACTGAGGTGTTTTGTGAAAATATTTACTTCAAGATCGTATCTAAGGGCTCTCAGTGGAGATATTACAAGTTCTTTGTCTAATTCTCTTGATGAGCTATTGCGTCATGCATCCTCACTTTGTACTTCTGGGGTTGATATGCTTGTTGAAATCTTGAACACAATAGCAAATGTTGGATCTGTGTCAGAATCTCATCATTGTTATGAATTTCTAGCCTCTTCCGTATCTGTTCCTATGGAAACTTGCTCTGGCGACAAGACTGTTTTATCTAGTGAAGGAGAATTTTGCTGGTCAGTTAGCACAGAACAGACGATAGATGCATCATCTGATGCTATTTCATTAAGTGTAGAATCTTTTCTTCCTGAATGCATCAGCAATACTGCCCGGCTTTTTGAGACTGTTCTTCAGAATGCTGAAATATGTCGCTTGTTTATTGAGAAGAAAGGTATTGAAGCTATTCTCAAATTGTTCTTGTTGCCTTCTATACCTATTTCTGTTTCTATCGGGGAAAACATTTCTGTTGCGTTCAAGCATTTTTCGCCTCAGTATTCTGTTGCCTTAGCTGGAACTGTTTGTTCCTTTTTTAGGGAACATCTGAAGTTGACAAATGAATTGCTCAACTCACTCTGTGGATCTAAGCTTACTGAGGTTGAAAGTGAAAAGCAAATGGTGGTATTAAAATGCATGTTAACTCTAGAAGGATTATTATCACTTGTCAATTTTCTTTTAAAAGGAACAACAACTATGGCTTCTGAATTAGGTTCCTCTGATGCTGATATCTTGATAGAGCTGGGGAAAGCCTACCGAGAGGTTCTGTGGCAGATTTCTCGAACCAGTGACTTAAAAGAGAAGCAGGATGCTGACCATGAGGTTGGCATAGGGGACGCATCATTATCTCCTAATACAGAAAGGGAGAGTGATGATGATGGAAGCACTGCACCAGTTCTCAGATACAATAATTCGGTATCTATTCATAACATCTCTACTTCTCATTGGAATACAGAACAAGAGTTTGTCTCGTACATTCCTGGTGCTACTGCTCGAAATGTCCTTCGACATGGTCGACCTAACTATTCTCGACTACGTGGAAGCAGATTAAGTCGCAATATGGATATTTCACAATCTGATTCAGATGTTTCTTCAAACAGCTTCAATAATTTACTTTTGGTTGAAAATAAGAAGAAAAAACCGATTGTTCTTGTTTCAGAAGTTTTGCTTAAACTTAGATTTGCCATCCATACTTTCCATGCAACCCTGGTGAAAGGATTGAGTTCTCGTCGCAGAACTGAATCATGTTCTCTTAGTCCGACTTCCAAAAGTTTTGTGACAGCTCTTGCAAAAGTTTTCCATGATGCTCTTACTTATTCTGGGCATCCTTCTGCTGGGCTTGAGACGCCCCTGTCAGTCAAATGCCAATACCTTGGAAAGGTTGTAGAGGCAATGGGCGTACTTGTCTTTGATAACAGACGCCGTGCATGCAATACTGCTCTTATAAATAGTTTTTATGTGAATGGAACATTTAAGGAGATTTTAACTACATATGAGGCTACCAGTCAGCTGCTCTGGACATTGCCTTTTTCTTTTCACATTCCTGTACGTGAACATGGAACATCTGCAGATGGGAACATGTCATTCGAAAGTTCATGGCTGCTTGATACTTTGCTGAGTTATTTCAACTTGTTGGAATATCATGTCAACTCTTCATTGCTGTTATCTCTGTCATCACCATCCCAATCACAGCTTCTTGTTCAACCTGTTGCTACTGGCCTATCAATTGGTCTGTTTCCTATCCCTAGAGACCCGGAGGTATTTGTCCGCATGCTTCAGTCACAAGTTCTTGATGTGATACTTCCTTTATGTACCCATCCCATGTTTTCTAACTGCAGTCCAGCCCTCATCAATGCTGTGGTTTCTAATGTCACTCATATTTACACTGGGGTGGGGAACATAAAACGTGGTCATGGTATTGCAGGAAGTAGTGCCCAACGAATCAATACCCGCCCAATTGATGAATCCTCTATTGCTACTATAGTTGAGATGGGATTTTCCAGGGTGCGAGCTGAAGATGCTTTGAGAAATGTGGGCACAAATAGTGTTGCAATTGCCACAGATTGGCTGTTTAACCATCCCGAAGAATTTGTTCAGGAGGATGTGCAGCTCGCACAAGCTCTTGCTTTGTCACTTGGAAATTCCTCTGAAACATCCAAGGATGATGATGGTGATGAGACCAAGAATGTATTTACAGAAGAAAAGGGAGCAGATATACCACCCTTTGATGAGATAATGCACGTTTCAATAAAGTTATTGCAAGGAAGTGATTCAATGGTATTTCCAGTCGCAGATCTATTATTGACACTCTGCAGTCGTAATAAGGGTAAAGATCGAGGGAAGGTGCTTTTGTATTTTATTCAGCAAATGAAAAACTACTCGACAGATTTTTCTGAAGACATAGATAAATTATTCCCAATGTCACATATATTAGCCTTAATTTTGAATGAAGATAGCAGCGCCCGAAAAATAGCTGCAGAAAATGGAGTTGTCTCTACTATCATAGCTATCCTGGAAAATGTCCTAGCGGGGAATAATCTTAACACAGAGGCTGTAATTACCAAATTTGTGAGTGCTTTGCTGCTTATATTGAATTGCATGCTGCAGCATACCACCAAGATTCCTGAAAAAAATTCTGATGGTTTTTCCACTTTACTGCCTGATTCATCAAAAGTTGATGCCTCCTTACCATTTTCAACCCCTGTTGAGGTTATGAAATCTCCTTCGGATTGCCTGGAAAAGGGACCTGGCAATCTGTTAGAAAATATCTTGGGGAAATCCACTGGATATTGTAGCATTGAGGAGAGTCGTAGAGCAATGGCTCTTACTTGTGATTTCATAAAGCAGCAAGTAAGCTCAATGATTATGCAGGCTGTTTTACAACTCTGCGCTCGCTTGACAAAGACATATGTCATAGCAACTCAGTTCCTTGAAAATGGAACCTTGGCTGCCCTATTCAACCTTCCAAGTAGTTGTATATTCCCTGGATTTGATAACTTGGCATCCACTATCATTAGGCACCTTCTTGAAGATCCTCAAACTTTGCAGGCAGCTATGGAATTTGAGATAAGGCAGACCCTTTCTAGAAGCCATAGTAGGTATACGTCGCATCTTTCTCCCAGATTATTTCTGACATCAATGGCACCTGTGATCTCTAGAAATCCAAAAGTTTTTATGAGAGCAGCAGTTGCTGTTTGTCAGTTGGAGTCCTCAGGAGGGAGGACAACAGTAGTGTTAACAAAGGAAAAGGATAAAGAAAAGCCCAAAGCTGCTGCTGAAAATGGAACCTCTATTAATGAACCCTTAAGGTTATCTGAAACTAGATTAAATGATAATAATGCTAAATGTACGAAAAGTCATAAAAGTGTTCCTGCCAATCTAGCACAGGTAATCGATCAGCTTTTAGAAATAGTTATGAGTTATCCAGTTATGAAAAAACATGAAGACAGCACTAGCTCTTTTAGCCCAATGGTAATTGACAAGTTTGTTCTGAAGGAAAAAGGAAAATCGAAGGTTGATGATATTAAGATGGATCTTGATGGCTTCTCTGAAAAATCTGCCTTGCTTGCGAAGGTGACATTCGTCCTTAGGTTGATGAGTGATATGCTTCTTATGTATGTGCATGCAGTTGGGGTGGTACTTAAACGGGATTCTGAGATGTATTTTCTACGAGGATCTGGGCAAGTGAGTAGCACTGGTCATCAAGGAGTTATACACCATATATTGCATGAATTTCTCCACAGTTCTTCAGAAAAAAATACTGAATGCTCAGATGAGCTAAGGGAGAGGTTGTCTGAAAAGGCTTCATGGCTCTTGGTAGTTCTGTGTGGACGTTCTATGGAGGGACGCAGGAGAGTTATTGCTGAAATTGTGAAGATATTTTCTTCTTTCCCAGTATTGGAAAGGAACACTGAAAGCATTTTGTTGCCTGTCAAGTACGTTCTTGTATTTGTCGATTTGGTCTATTCTATTTTATCCAAAAATTCTTCTAACAACTTGCCTGGATCTGGATGCTCCCTGGATATTGCCAAAACCATGATAGATGGTGGAATGGTACAAGCACTTTGTAATATGATTGGGTGTATAGATCTGGACCACCCAGATGCTCCTAAGCTTGTCAATTTGATACTCAAGGCTTTAGAGTGCCTAACAAAAGCTGCTAATGCTAGTGATCGAGTGTTTAAGTCTGATGGACAGAATAAGAAAAGATCTAATGCCACGCATGAAATAATGGAAGAACAGAGTAATAATAATAATGGAAGCATTAACCATGATCAGAGCATGAATCCACGTAATACTGCTGTTGTCCAAGTTGAAGAGCACCAGATAGGGGAATTTCATCATAGTGGTAGGCAGGATAATGCAAATCTAAGTCAAAACATTGAGCATGAGATGCGAGTAAATAGGGAAGAGCATGCTGAGAACCCAACAACAGATAGGGTCCAATTTATACGTCAGGAAATCAATGAGAGTGGTGTAATTCAGAATTCTAATGACATCGGCTTGGATTTTCGGATTGAACAACACCTTGATGATGAGATGGCTGATGAAGATGAGGAGATGGGGGATGATGGTGATGATGATGATGATGAAGATGATGAGGAAGATGATGACAATGAAGAAGACATTGCTCAAGGAACTGGTTTAATGTCTTTAGCTGGTACTGATGTAGATGACCATGATGACAGTGGTTTGGTTGAAGAATATAACATTAATGCAATTGATGAAGAAGATGATGATTCCCCTGAAAACCATGTTATTGAAGTAAGGTGGAGAGAAGGATTAACTGGTTTTGATCAGTTGCGTGTTGTAAGGGGATCTGGAAATGTTAGTGGTTTTGTTGATGTTGCTTCTGAGCCATTTCGGAGAATAACCGCAGATGAAATATTCAGTTTCCAACGTTCACTGGGCGCTGACCGGCGGCGTCCAAGTGGTAATCAGAATTTTGTTGACAGGTCATGTTTTGATGGTAATGCTTTCCAACATCCATTACTTCTGAGGCCTTCTCTGTCAGGTGAGACAGGTACTTCGATTTGGCCATCCGCTGGAAACACTTCCAGAAATTCCGGAGCATTGTCAGTTGGAAGTGCTGATTTAGCCCATTTATATATGTTTGATTCTGGTCTCTCAACCGAACATGCTGCTTCAACATTACATGGTAACAACTTAGTTGATTCTGCGCCACATTTCATTGATTTTTCTTTTGGCGTGGATTCCCTGCAAATGGGGCCAAGAAGGGGAGTTGGTGATAGTCGGTGGACAGATGACGGTCTTCCTCAAGCAGGTACCAATGCTTCTGCTATTGCACAAGCTGTTGAGGATCAATTTGTATCTCAGTTACGTGGCATACTTTCTGTCAGTAATCCTCCCATTCAGAGGCCATCTGGGCATTCTCTAGGACAAATTAACCAGTCATCATTGTTAATTGCCAATAATCATGTACTGGCAAGCATAGAAAGTGATCCTTTTGAACCAGGAGAATTTCAGCATCTGGAAACTGGATTTGATGAATCAGCTCAATGGCTAGATAATGTAGCTTGTGAAGATCCTTCTATTCCATCTCAGGGAGAAGCAGATAACGCTGTTGCTGGAATTATTGAGAATGAGGGTGCATTGGAAGCAAGGCAATTTGTTATTGATGATCCAAATGTTTCGGCTCTTAATGCCCCTGAGAGGTTGCTTGTCTGGAATGAAGATGGGCCCATCACCATACCTTCACATGTTCCTGAAATCGTCATGTCATCTGATGATTTGCACAATGTTGATCAGCATGTACCATATGATTCTGAAGCACTTCCATGTCCCCTAAGCATAGATTCCCATAGTGATTGTCTTCATGGAAATAACGACTTTGAAAATCATTCTAGTAGCCAAGCAGTCATTGATTCAGGTTCAACGTTGCCCATTTTAGGTGATGGTCGTGCTGGTCCAAGTCCGGCAAGTGCTGATTTTGATATGAATGCTACGGAAACAATGGGGAATCAAGTCAATGGTGTGGTTCCTACTAATGATGAACTATCAAATATGCATGATGCATCTTTTCCTAAGGAAGCCATTCAAAATCAAGGGATTGTTAATAACGATTCTTCTTGTATGAACGGCATCGACCCAACATTTTTGGAGGCACTCCCTGATGATCTCCGTGCTGAAGTATTGGCTTCACAACAAGTTCAGTCTGCTGGGACTTCTACGTATGCTCCACCTGCTGCAGAAGAGATAGATCCAGAGTTTTTGGCTGCACTTCCCCCAGATATCCAAGCTGAGGTTTTGGCTCAACAAAGAGCACAAAGGGATGGACATGTGCAACATGCTCATGGTCAACCAGTGGACATGGACAATGCTTCAATTATTGCCACCTTCCCTCCTGAACTGCGTGAAGAGGTAACATTTGCATTTTACTGTAGCGGATAACACTTCTCTCATGGGAAATTCAAAAATATCTACTTGGAACTCTTGTGGCGGCCCAATATTGGGGGAATTGGTGGGCCTGCAGTGTTATTAAGAACTTACTTTGGCCTATTTCTCCAATTGGTGGCACCTCGCTGGAAGCACCCTGCAAGCTTTCACGGTATCTACAAGGGCCAAGTATCAATTTTTGTTTCTTTTCATGAAGTGGATTCCTCTATCTTAGTTTTTGTAAGGCAAATCTTTTAAAATGTTTTGCAGGTTCTCCTCACATCATCTGATGCTGTCCTTTCAGCATTACCGTCAGCTTTACTTGCTGAGGCTCAAATGCTCAGGGATAGAGTATCAAGCCATTACAGTGCTCGCAGCAGCTTCTTTGATGGAAGCCAAAGGCTTAGCAGTAGGAGGCTGACGGTTGACCGGCTGACAATTATGGATAGAGGTGTAGGAGCAACAATAGGTTCAAGAGCAGCTTCAGCAATTGCAAGAAACTTGAATGTTAAAGAAACTGAAGGGATGCCTCTTGTGGATGTAACTTCTTTGAGATCTTTAATTCGACTCCTAAGAGTAGCTCAGGTAATGTGCATGTTTTAATATGATTATGAAATTAATAAATTATTAACATTATCATGATCTTTATGTAGAAATAACTTGGGGAGGAAAATTGCTTGATCAAATCACTCACAAGTATGGTACATTTATATAGGGAAATCAATCCATCTTTATTTACAAACTTACCAAATATATCTGATCAATATTTTGAAAAGGAAATATTCTGAAATAAAAATAGAAAACAAAAATAGGAAGAGAATAAAACTAATTAAGGAGTTTCCAAATTTTCTCCCAATCATACCTTGGGAGATCGAATGATGACCGGTCGGCCCATCAAGACTTCCTTCCCAATTTTTCACAATTTCCTTCAAGCTGGGTCATACATGTTGTTGAGACCAAGCTTGGTATTGAATTCCGAGATGGTATTTAAAGGAAGAATTTTAGTGAATACATCAAAAACTTGTTGGCACATTAAAATGTTGCTTAGTTGTATTATTTCTCCGTTAACATTTTCAGAAACAAAGTACCTATCAACTTCAATATGTTTGGTCCTATCATGATTTATAAGATTCTTGATAATACCTATAACTCCTTGACTTTCACAAAACATCAGTATAGACCTATTGGAGATACACTCCAATTCCCTTTTACACTTTCTGAATCCAAATCCCTTCATATATTCCCAAGGCGAGTGGTCTATACTCAGATTCTGCACTGCTTTTAGAAACAATAATTGTTTCTTACTTCTCAATGTAATCAGATTTTCTCGTGGCGAACCTTCTGTCAGTGAGTTTCTTAGCCCATATAGCATCAGTGTAGATTTCTACCTCTCTATTTTTGGCCTTCTTAAAAATTAATCCATCATCAAGAGTCTTCTTAAGAAACCTCAGGATTTTGTGCATTATCTCCAAATGCTCTTCATTTGGGTTATTCTTGTGCTGGCTTACAATGCTTGACAAAATATACAATATTTGGCCTAGTATGTGATAGGTAGATGAGATTTCCTACCAATCTTTGATATCTTCCCTTATCCACATATATACTTTCCTTCCCTTTATTAGACTTATTGAGATTCATTGGAGTATCATTAGGTTTACATCAATCATCCTCGTCTCCTTTAATAGATTTAGAATGTATTTTCTCCATGATATAATGTTGCCTTTCTTTAACCTTGATACCTCCATAACGAGAAAATATCTTATTGTTCCAATGCCCTTGATTTCAAACTCATTGACAAACTCATCTCCAGTAAGAATCATATAATCCACATAGAGTATCAGTGCAACATATTATCCCTCAGAGTGTTTTGTGAACAAAGTATGATCAGCTCGAACTTGAGAATATTCATTTGACCTCATAGTTTTAACAAACCTTTTAAACCACTCCCTTGGTAATTTCTTAGGCTCATAGAGAGATTTCCCAGGTTTCTTGGTGGTATCTCCATGTACACTTCTTCCAGATCCCTATTTTAGGAAAACATTTTTTATGTCTTGCTGATGTGAACTTCATTCCTTATTAATTGCCACCGCAAGGAGAACTTTGATAGTATGTAGTTTGGCAACTGGTGCAACGGTTTTTTGATAGTCAATTCCTGAAAGTGTGCATTAGCATTAAGATTTCAAAGGATAAAAAAAGAACTATATAAGCTACACAAAAGGTGGAGTTTGTGTGGCATCAACCTCCACTACACTAAAAAATGCGGGGTCACAAATGTGAGCATCCCAAACAAATGACCTATTCAAAGCTAGTTGAGAAAAAAAATGGGCAGCTTTGTTACATTTTTTATGAGGAAAAAAAAACTTGCTTAAAATTAGTAACAAAAAGTTATGTTGGGCCCAATGTCAAGATGTTGCTGCCATACATTCCCTTTCAAACTCTTTTTGGATAAGAAGTGATAACCGTCGCATTGTCTCTTTCAATAATGATCTCCTTAGTTTCATAAATCCAAGGCACCAAAAGAGTGCTGAGGGAGAGAATTGCTTCATATTCCACGCTTTAGTTGTCCCAAAGCATCAAGGATTGTCCTACCCCAAGAATAAATTTCCCAACTTCTCACCAATCACAACCCCAAGCCCGCTTGATTTTTGGCAAGAAGGGCTTAACGTTGGCCTTTATCCAACCCTTACCAAAAATTAGAAGTTGACAGTTGGGTAGGTCGAGGAGAGCCCCATTGCTTCATGATGGGGAAATCTTTTGTTTCAGTGAGGAAAGGATGGTGGCCGCCATCACCATCAGGGTCCTATAAGGCTGGTTGTGCACTTTGGCGTTTTGCGTCCGCAAACCATGACGCACCACATAGCAATAAGTTCTGTGCAATTCCACACTAGAGTAGGGGAGTTGCTTCAAAACAGTTATTGTTTCTTCAAGAGAATGAATATCTGGAGTTCTCAGCCCCCATCGGGTCAGCCATCAAAGTATTTCTTTCAGCACTTTACAATTGGCCGCAATATGTGAATAATTTTCAATTTCATCATAGACCCAAGGGCGTAGGACATTTTTCGGTTGAACCCCTTCCATGAAGCCAATCATAAGTTGGTATAGCATTATGAATTAATCTCCACCAAAAAAATAGCTTCTCTAGGATGGAGGCGGAGCTTTGGGATCCAATTGTCATCTTTAATGAGATGAGAAAACTACTTCTCATTTGCCATAGCAGTGATGGTTCTACCAGAAAGAGCTGGGAAGAGTTTAGCTTGGTCCTGCCATGAATTTAGCGGGTTTTGGATCTGCTATATGATATTAATAAGATCTGGCCCAAAGCATTCATTCAATGTGGGCCTAGTTCTTGTTAGCCAATCTCATAGGTTTGAGTGAAGCGTTTTGCAACTAGTTTGACTTTGAATCTTTCTATACTCACATCAGTTCTGTATTTTATGTTGAACTCCCATTTGCATCAAATTGGTTTCTTAGTTGGGGGGAGTTTAGTGAGAATCCACGTATCATCATGCTTCAATGTTTGGATCTACTCTTAAACTACTTTTCTTCATTTTAAATTTTCAAGAGCTTCATAAATGAATTTAGAAATTTGCATACTATCAAGGTTAGAAACAAAAATTTTGTATGACAACTTTCCATAAGTTACACACTCTTGAATTAAATATCTAATGCAACTTTCCTTATCAGCAGCAACATAAAAAAAAGAAGGGAATAACTCATGAGTACCAGACTCCTTACCCAAAATTTTAGGTGATTGTAGATTGAGGTTTTGGTTTGAGCAGTTATGTATTTTCAAGTTGTATTCTACTCGTTCAAGATGTTTCTTTCTCCTTGTGCATACAAGATGGTTGTTATTATGGACTTCAGGTTGGATTGGTCGGATTAGTTGAACATCCTCAATCAGGATAGGAGGGCTATTTGGAGGTGGTGAGGCCATGTAGGTTTCATCAAATGCATGTCAAAATTGATGTTCATTTGCACTCTCCCCTCAAACATCAGTTTTGGGGTAGTAGAACTGATTTCAAGAAATGAGACAATCATGGAGTTATAATATTTTCTAGTAATATGAGAATGATACTTGTCCCATTTTTGCTTCAAGTTTTGTCGAATTTTGGGATTTGATGTGAAGAAAGGATACACACCCAAAGATTTTAAATTGTATAGTAGAAGAGAAAGATATGATCTGAGGATATGTAACCATCAAATATCAAGATGTGTTTTGAAGTCAAGTATCCTGCTAGACATTCAATTAGTAAGATATGTTGTATTAAGAATTGCTTACCCCAAAAAATATTTTGGAACTTGATGAGAAATCATGGTTGAGTAGAACACCTTAAGTATGTGTCTGTATTTTCTCTCAGTTATCTCATTTTCTTTTGGGGTATTAATATATGAACTCACATAAATTGAAATATTGCATTGCATTATTTTTTTTGAAGATTTGAATTTTGCAATAAAATTGAGTTTCAATCTTGTCATGAAAGGTTTAAAATATTTGGGTTGTTTCAGATTTCTCCTTCATTATGAATACCCAAGTAATTCCAGTGTGATTGTCAATAAATGAAACAAATCATTTAGCCCCACTTAGATTCTTAACCTTTGAAGGTCCTCAAATATCACTTTGGATAATGGGAAAAGGGGGTGAGGGATTATATCATGTCTTGTGATAGCTATTTTTAGTGTGTTTAGCAAGTTGACAAGTCTCATATTGATAAAAGATAGATTTTTAATTGATTAATAAATGTGGATACAATTTACTAACATAATTGAAATTATGATGATCCAAACGACAATATCATAACATGACTTTATTTTTGGCATGCATAGACTCAACTGACTTAGAAATTTGAGATAAATATGAAGATGTGATCATTTGTGTGTTTAGAGAGAGACTTTCCTTGAACACGTAGAAGCCTTAATGCATTTTGTTAGAAGTTATATTAGGAAATAATTTATTCCTATTAAAAGTTTGAGATTTAGATTTATTTCCTAATATAATTTTATTTTCTTTTCCTATTTTAGACTTTCCCATTTTTATGTTGTTTTCTTTATCAACAGAACAATTAATATGAATTTGATAATTGAAGATATCATAAGTTATATCTTTCATTTTCTGTTATTTTTTTCTATCGTCTTTTCTTATCTGAGATTCTTGTAAGGGTCAAATTCTTGTAAGGGTTATTTAAACCCTCTTTTTATATCAATAAAAATATTTCACATTATTTTGAATTTCAACATTTTATCAAAGTCCAATTTCCTACCCTAGCCTCCGATCCTCCTTCCAGAATAGCTGGACTCCCTTCCTGCCATGCACTGTGCGGGAAGGGAGGGGCACCTATTATGACATTTGAAACAACAACTTTTGTTTATTCTTTCCCTGCAGGCTTGGCCTTTCGGCTAGCCCTTCCCGAACCGGGAGCTCGACTCTGCCAGCCTCTAGAAAGCAAGTGGCACTTCTCAACAGTTTTTCTTCTTGTAGAGAACTGCTTGGTGGAGAATTTTTTGGTGTTGGCTGCCTAACAATTTTTTTTCATAAAGAATTATTGCATATATGCGGTGTAGATCTATAACCGCTGGTTCCTCTAGCT